CTCCGTTCTCCCTCCCAGGAGATCTCTAGTAGAGTTTGCTCCGCTGAGCTAAGTTTCAGTGTGAGAGGGATCTGTGCGGGGAAGTGGAAAAAGTGCAGGGCTTGGAGTGTGGAGGGAGATGCTCATGCAGAATTCAGCTGGAGGGAGATGAGGAGCTCAGGCTGGGGCAGTAACTGCGGCCACTTGATGGCTTATCCCATATTGCCTCCTTCAATCCCCTCAAGAGCCCTGTGAGGTGAGAACTGGTATTATCCCCAGTTTACAGAGCATGGAACTGGAGTACAGGAAAGGTGAGTGCTTTGCTCCTGGTCTCATACAGCGTGGATCTGAACCCAGCAGGGCTCCCTCAGCGTCTACACTTCTGACCAGACCTGCACACCTGCCACACTGTAGTGTCAATTACACGTGGACGGGAGAAGAGCAGAGAAGGAATTCCCAAGTCGAATCCAAGATGGCAGTCAAAATTATGGATTAAAAAATCATGTAACACAAGCAAACTCCAGAAACCCAGAGAGGGCAAGAGAAGCCAGTCAAATAGCGAAAAAGGAGAGGTGAGTAGAAGGTGTTTAGGGGCAGACAGCAGAATCCGGGAGCCCTTTCCTGCCTCACAAAGTCTCCAGAATCCAGAGGACTCACACAGGCAGAAGACCTCCAAGTGGGAAGAGGATGCGTCCTCCTGCGGGGCACAGAGAGGAAACAAAGACAGAATCATCCATCGTGCGCTCTGTTAGAGAGACAAGACCCCACAGCCCAGATTGGCCAGAAAAGGCTGTAGGAGGAAAACCAGAACCTCTGCTATCTCTACTCACACACCTGGCCATTTATAAATATGTTACTAGGGTGGGGTGTATTTGTATTCCTTATCAAATTGGAAGCTCAATGAGGACCCAGTCACACCTGTTGTTGGTCACTACTGTATCCCCAGCATCTTGCACGCTCCTTAGGGACCGTCTATTGTGATATCCTCACTTAACACAGAAGAAGCTGAGGCCTAAGGAGTCGGAGGGATTTTCCTGAGATGTCACCGTGAAGAGCAGATCCAATACCATCTCTGGTCTCCTGGAGCCCTGTCCAAGGATTTCCCACCGTTCTCAGCTGCAGCGTTCATCATTTCTGAGGAGCCCCCGAAAAATCTTCATGTGAACACAGAATGCGAGAGATAATCAGCAAACGCAGAGACTGCCCCTAATATCCATTCTCATGTCACATACTCTCTGAGTAGCTGCTCCTTCCCTGGTCCCTTCAAGCCTGGGGGTGGACAGTGCTTCACTTCGGCTTGCCTTAGGCTGCTTCACCATGCTTTGTCACTTTTCCTTAATCCTGCCCAGCTTTGCAAATACTCGGTCCCCTCATGAAACACTCCTCACTCATCCCAGTTTGGGCTGTTTCCTCCTGGGACTCTGCTAGATTCACAAGAGAAGAGAACTTTGAAAAGCCAGTGAAACAATGAAACCTGGGTTAACAGCCGTTCGTCTCCGGGAAGCAATGCCAGCATGTTCCCTTGCTCCCTAAATTCCTGTAAGAGGCGGCATCCTCTCCATGCCTGCAGATTTGAACGGTTCAATGAAGGGGAGAATATGAGGAGATGAATCAGAAGGGAGAAAGGTTCTGGTTGACCCCATTCGGATCGACCACAGTCGGAGCTGCCATCACCAAAGGTGCTAATGGAGAGCTTCGGTCTCCTGCCTTTTCCTGAAGGACACACCATGACCCCCTGCAGGTAGCACCCCAAAGTAGAAAGAGGGGATGGGAACTTAGAGCAAACACCATCACTGGCTTTGGAAATAGGACAGTTCTTGCTATATATCCTGACCCTTCTTCCATTCTTCTGGCGGGAGTGGAGAGTGAGAGCCTTTCTGTGATTGAGTGATGCCAGAGGACACTTCCCTGTCCTCTAAATCGGGAGATGCCTACAGGAGCTGGAGTGAGGGGCGGTGACCAAGCAAGGCTTATCAAGACACTGGACAGAACTTGCAATTTCCCGTGTAGACCCAGTGGGCAATTCAGAGGCCAGGGCTGTTTGAGACGTGACCCCTCACCGAGATGTTTCCCAGCATTTGCCCCACTTCCGCCCACACACCAGCCTCGCCCATCCCACCCCATCTGGTCCACCTCCTAGCAAGTAACCACTGTTCTGGAGCATACGGTTGACAACTGGGGACCTGGGTAGCAATGTCAAGCAATGTGAGCTTGCATTGTGAGGCTTCGTAACTAAAGAAAAGCCTATCATAGGGTGATTGAAAGTTCGCCATGACCTGACCTGATTTTTTTTGCTTGTTTTCTTTATGCTAACATAATGCATTCACATCTGGAACTTCTTTCCAAATGATAGAGAAACATATACAAAGTGGCAGTCTCCATGACTCCCGTTCTCCAGAGGCCACTGCTGATTACACTTCCCATTATCATTTCTTTTATTATTAGCTCAAAATAGTAAGCTTATATTTCTATATTTTAATTTATCAGCATTAACAACTGCATCAATGGGCTCCCCTTATAAAATGCAAGGAATTCAGCTCATGTAACATATCTTCTGCCTCCCTCCACTTCACAATATTTGCGATTTACTTATTTTCAGTTGGTCTGTATATCCAATATTTTCAGTCTTACGTTTTACGACCTCAGCTCATGTGTCTCATGCTACAGCCATATTGATCTACTTGTCATTTTTATACATGACATTTGAATTAGGAACTATTTAACATTCAGAAAAGTTCTTCCATGCCTTCATTCAGCAAATATTTAATAATTACTAATTGTGTCCCAGACACTGTTTCAGGCAGTAGGGTGTGGTATGAACAGCATCTCAGACAAGACCATGGCCCTGTGGAGCCCGTGTTCGAAGGCCTGGCCGAGCTCCCTCAGGATGCGAATGGAACTGAGAAGAGAAGAGGTGAAGGCTCAGCAGAGGGGTCTCCATCCATTAGAAGTCCGGAGGAGGAGCTGATTCAGCAAAACAGACTGAGAAGCAACAGCTGCTGTGGAAAGAGGAAAACTAGGAGAGTGTGGTGTTCCAGAATCCCAGATGACAGAGCTATTGCTCAGTAGTGTCAAATGCTGCCAGTGGTTGAGAAACCGACCTTTGGACCTGCAGCGTGGAGTCCTTGCCACTCTCATCAATGTGGTTGCAGAGAAAGAGCGGCCTGGAGGACTAAGCGGAGCGGCTGGGAGAGAGAAGGGCAGGTGTGGGACGGGACTCCCGGACACCCCGGACATCAACTGAAACACCGCCACAGGCAAGGGGAGAGTTAGGACGGCTGGCTGAGCCACAGATTATTGTAGAAAAAATCAACCGTGTTTCCGAATACAAAAATAAAAACATAGAAGAAATCATAGGAAAAAACCCAACTCCTTCTTCTGAAAAAGAAGCGCAGTGAAGGCATTTCATACATTGAATACAGCCTCCGTAAGCGCAGCAGCGTAGCCCTGACTCGCACATGCTGACTCACTGACACAAATGCGTCCGCTGACTCAGTTCATGATAAAAGCTGAGCATCAAACTAGTGGGTAAACAGGGACTATTCCGTGAATGGAACTGGACAACTGGGTGGCCATCTTAAAAAAATAAACTGGAAAAGGTACTTCATGTATGATATTAGGGCAAATTCTAAATATACTACATATTTAAAAATAAATAATGAAGGTATAATTATTCCTGGAGAAACCATGGGAAAATGCTTTTGTAAGTCAAAGCAGGGAAATCCTTTCTAAATTTAGCACAAAATTTCCACAAGAACATAAAGAAATTTTGAGAACAAAATGAGACACCCTAATCGAAAGATAAATTAAAAGCTGGAAAAATATTTGTAACTCACAGATAAAGTTCTAATTTTTCCTATATGCAGAAGTTCTTACAAAATGTTAAATTAGAAAATCCAACAAAGCAGTAAGAAAATTAAATTAAATTAAAATGCAAGATATGAGTTCACATTTCCTAAAAAAATACAAATGGCTCTTAAACACGAGAGAAGATGTGAAACCGAACTCATAATAAGAGAAAGGCAAAGTAAATTACACCGAGTTATAATTTACCTGCCAAAATTTCGAAGACCAAAAAGTTGTCAGTATCCCAGTGGGAGATCATGTGGGACAGATGCTCACACTTTTCTGGGGGAGTGAAGATTGATAGAGCCCCCAGGGAAGGCAGTTTGCAACTTATATAAACATATATAAAGTATCATACTTTTTTGCACTTTAATTCCTCGTTTAGGAATTTATCTTAGGGATATATTTGTATACATATGTACAAGGTTAACAAATGTGGGATTATTTGCATTAACGAAAGACTGGTAAAAGCCAAATGGCCACCAATACTGTATAAATTACGGTCCATCCATACAATGTATAAAAAGAGCCACAAACATGATATGGAAGGACCTCAAGATACATTAAGTTACAAAAAGAGAGTGCAGAATGATGCATGTTTACATATACACGTGCATACACAGTTTTTATCAATATGAGGTCTGCTGCCTAGAAGACCCTGCTTTAACTGCCTGCCATCTTTGGTTCTCCCAGAATCATTACTTCATTCCATGGCTGGTCAAGCTGACAAGTCTTGCTTGTCCTGTGTCCTCATATGCCTTAGAGAGAAGCCCCAAGAGAGAAGCTAACATCCCCTTTGCTAATAATATGGATCCCCTCTTAGAGCATGATATCCGTGTGTAATTTTTTGGGAAGATCCTTTTCCAAACAGGGGTGAGACTGGAAACACACAGCGGAGGAAGTGGAGAAAGGGCCCTGTCCTCTCACCCTTGATTTTGCAAATGCAAGTTTCTCCTGTAATATAGGAAACTAAAAAGAGAGCAAATGTGGCAATTAGGAAAAACTGCCAGAAAACAAATGCCTTGAATGACCCAACTTGAAAGAAACTACTTGAGGATAAGGAAAATAGTTTTATTCAATATGCTAATTTTTTATTTACACAGAAGAATTGAGCAAGATGGACTTTACCAAGGCACATTGTTGGACTTAAGACTTCTCTTCCCACTAATGCCAAAGCCAGGAGAGACACCAGCGACTAAATTTCAGCCGGAGAAACGGCCACAGGTGAGGCTTTCTTCTGGGGAGTAATTCTCTTGTTTTTCTCCTTCGAGATCTTTTTCTCACTTTTTGGTAAATTCTGACTGGGGAGAAGTTGTGTTTTCTACCCATCATGAGGTCAATGCTGGGCAGAGTAGGACCTCAGGAAATGCTTATTGATCGACTCTAATCTGCTTTATTGAGTGACAAATTGGCTACAAACCGGTAAAACTTTGGGAACTTCTTATTTTTTTTAGAGATCTGGGCTGAGAATTAAGGGTTTATGCTTCATCCTAAAACCCATTTCGATCTTTCCTACAGTAATGATCCTAATAAAAACAAATGGAAATTGGGAACTAGGCTGTCTTTGAAATTCAGAATCCCAAAACATGTGTCTACCTTGGTTGTGATTCTCCGGCCCTCTGTGTCTTTCACTTCAGCGCAATGAAGCTTTTCACTGGCATTGTTTTCTGCTCCTTGGTAGTGGGAGTCAGCAGTGAAGGCTGGTTTTCATTCTTCAAAGAGGCTGTCCAAGGTAAGAGCCCTGGAGGATGGAGGGCGCATCCAGCTGTCCCCAGGATTCACTCTGAGCAGAGGCCACATAGCCACTGGATGTGGGTGCTCCTCAGAGAAGCCGCAAACGGGTCAGAGCAGGAGTGTTTCTCCTTCCAGGCTGGTCTGCCTCAGCACCCTCCATGGAGTCTCCAGACCAGAGGTCAGCGGTGCTTCGGGCCCAGCCTGTCCTTGCCGGGAGTGTGCAGAGGGGTCAGCACTCCCTGGGGGTGAGCTCCTTGTGGGAATTCACAAGTCACAAATTCCTCAGGCTTGCAGTCTCACTGTGAACTCAGTGTGTTCCCAGAGACGGAACCTTCAGTGTCAGTTTTTGCGAGACTTTAAACTTCACGTGTCGTTATTAATCTTGTTTTACCTTCCTTGTTCCTTCTTCAATGCTCTTCCTTTCTTTACATAGATGGGAATTTCTGACCTATATGATTTCCCTTCTCTCTAAAGAACTACTTTCAGCATTTCTTGCAAGGCAGGCCTACTACCAATAAATTCCTTCGATTTTTGTTTGAGAAGGTCTTTATTTCTCCTTCTCCTTTGAAGGATGATATCACAGGGTGCAGAATTTGGGGTTGGCGGTTTTTTTCTCTCAACATGTTAAATATTTCCCTCCACTCTCTTCTTGTTTGCATGGGTTCTGAGGAGGAGTCAGATGTGATTCTCATCTTTGCTCCTCTGTAGCTAAGGTATTTTTTCCCTCTGGCTTCTTTCAGCATTTTTCCTTTATCTTTGATTTTCTGTACATGCCTAGGTGTGTTTTAGTTGTTCTTGTTGTTGGGTTTATCCAGCTTGCTGTTCTCTGAGTTTCTTGGATCTCTGCTTGGTGTCTGACATTAATGTGGAGAAATTCTCACTCATTATTGTTTCAGATATTTCCTCTGTTCCTTTCTCTGTCTTCTCCTTCTGGTATTCCAAACACATATGTCACCCCTTTTCTAGTTGTCCCTCAGTACTTGGATGTTCTGTTTTGGTTTTTTTTTCAGTCTGTTCTCTACTTTTTGATTTTTGAGGATTCTATTGAATCCTCTTGCTCGAAGATTCTTTTCTCAACCATATCCATTCTACTGATAACCCCATCAAAGGCATTGTTCCCTTCTGTTCCAGTGTTTTTCATGTCTAGCATTGATTTGTTCTTTCTTAGCATTTCCATCTCTCTGCTTACGTCACCCATCTGTTCTTGCACACTGTCTGCTTTATCCATAGAGCCCTTAGCATATTCAGCATGGTTGTTTTAAGTTCCCAATCTGATAATTCCAATATCCCTGCCACGTCTGGGTCTGATGTTTGCTCTGTCTCTTCAAACTGTGTTTTGCCTTTTGGTATGCCTTGTGACTTTTCCTTGATAGCTGGATGTGGTGTATTGGGTAAAAGGAGCTCTTGTAACTGGGCCTTTAGTGATGTGCTGGTGAGATGTGGGGGGAGGGAGGGGTTCTACTGTCCTAGGGTTGGGTCGCAGTCTTTCAGTGAGCCCACGCTTCTGGACTGGGAACTAGTTAAGTGTTTCTCAGTTTTTTCCTCCCCCTCAAGTGGGGCAGGATGGTTGGAGTGGGCTGGAGTTGGGTATTTCCCTTGCCCAGGGCAGTTAGACTCTGATAATACAGTTTCCCCTGAGGGCGGCCCTTGGGAAGAAGAACAGAGGACTCTGACTTGCTTCAAATGGCTCCTTTTCCCTCCTCCTGCTGGAAGCCTAAGGGGATTTTTTGTGAGAACCTGGCAGCACTCCTGAAGGTAAATCTCACAATAATGTGGGGCCCCCTGTGACTGGGGCCCCTAGAGTTTTTAACTCTCAGAGTTGTGCCCACTGAACCTCCAGAAATTCATCAATTCCAGTTCAGGCTTTCCTCCCCCAGCGCTGGTTCCCGCACTGGTGGGGCCTCCTGAGTCTCTGCTCCAGTAGGACTGGTATCCCTGTGTCTGCCCGTCTGACTCTCCTGTCTCGGGGGCAGTGGTCTGCCCTGTGTCCTCCCCTCTCTTACAGAGTCAAGAAGAATTGGTGCATTTTCAACCTGTTCAGCTATTTGCTTGTTGCTGAATTGGAGTATTGACTTCCAAACTCCTTACATGCAGAACTGGAACTGATGTATTAATGTTGCAATTGAAAGTTTTGCAATTTTTTTGTTGAAATTTGACAAATTCAATATTTCTATATTTTGAATTTCCTGTGCTATTCTTTTTTTTGTAAAAGATTGACACTTGTGCTAACATCTATGGCCAATCTTTTTTTCTTTTCTTTTCTTTTTCTTTTCTCTCCAAAGCCCCCAGCACATAGTTGTATATTCTGGTTGTGCGTGCCTCTGGTTGTGCTATGTGGGACACCTCCTCAACAAGACCTGATGAGCGGTGCCCTGTCCGTGCCCAGCATCTGAACCGGCAAAACCCTGGGCGGATGAAGCGAGCGCACGAACATAACTACTCCGCCACAGGGTCTGCCCCATGCGCTACTCTTTTTAAATGAATTTCTCTGAATACAGTTCTTAAAAAGAATTTTGGTGCTAGCTGCTAAGTTTTCTGCACATAGTAAAAAATATCTCCTCCCTTAGGTCAGTGTATTTCAGAATTTGTGGTGTGGTCCACCTGCATTTGAATCTGCTGGGAGTTTTTGTATGAAACGAAATCCTGAGCCTCTTCTAGCCTCTGAGTCAGAATCTTGGAGATGGGGTGGGGCTAGGAATCAGCGTTTTGAACAAGGCTTCAGGTTATTCTAAACACAATACCAATGAGAATGACTATCTCAGGTGTTGCTACAACCCAGTGATAGAATCTATCAAGTACTTGGAGAAAACTCTTACCTATCAAACTGGAGAACATGGAATGAACGTCAAGGCAGCATCAGAGAAAGAACTCTTGTTAGGCCTAGCCCCAGATCAGCTATTCACGGACTCAGAGACAAAAGAATTAATACATGAAGTTAGTGAGACATATGCCACAGAACAAAGCACATCAATAACAATTAAGGTGGGGCCAGCCCCGTGGCGCAGTGGTTAAGTTCATGCGCTCTGCTTCAGCAGCCTGGGAATTGCAGGTTGGGATCCTGGGCGCGGACCTACACACTGCTCGTCCAGCCACGCTGTGGTGGCGTCCTACATGCAAAATAGAGGAAGACTGGCACAGAGCTTAGCTCAGGGCTAATCTTCAAGCAAAAAAAGGAAGATGGTAACAGATGTTAGCTCAAGGCCAATCTTCCTCACACACACACATACACACACACACAAACCAAAGAATAATTAAGGGGCTGGCCCGGTGACATAGTGGTTAAGTCTGGCATGCCCTGCTTCGGACCACCGAAGCTGGCTCGGATCCCGGGCACAGACTTACACTGCTTGTGAAGTCATTTTGTGGTGGCAACCCACATATAAAATATAGAAAGATTGGCACAGATATTAGCTCAGTGCTAATCTTCCTCAAGCAAAAAAAGAGGAAGATTGGCAACAGATGTTAGCTCAGAGTGAATGTTTCTCACAAAAAAACAAAAGAAAAAGAATAATTAAAACTATCCATCTTGGTTTTTCTTTTCTCCAAGTGAGTAGGTTTAAAGAAATCCTTGACATGTGAGCCACGGCACGTCTCAATAAATGTTTACTGAGCAACACAGGCACGACAGACGCTTCCTCCAGCTCTTCCTCACTCAGACCTGTTTTGAGCATCTATTTTTCCACTAATGGTCTTTTAAACTCTTTTCATTGAGCTATAACAGTAAACTGAGATACAGTAAACTGCACAGCTTGATGAACTCCTGCATAGGTAAACACCCACGCTACCACCGTCAGACCAAGATGTGTCATATTTCCAGCACCCCAGAAGGACAGCTCGTGTCCCCTCCCAGTTAATGTCCCCACCAAAGGTAACCCCTATTCTGGCCTCTATGATTATAGATTAGTTTTTCCTGCTTATTATCTTTAACAAAAATTTTATTGAAGTATAATTGACATATAACATTATATTAGTTTCATGTACAGCGTAATGATTCAATATTTGTATGTGTTGCGAAATGATCACCACAATAAGTCTAGTTAATATCCATCACCACACATAGTTACAAAAATTTTTTTTCTTGTAATGAAGACTTTTAAGACTTACTCTCTTAGCAACTTTCAAATATGCAATACAGTGTTATTAACTATAGTCACCATGCTGTACATTGCATTCTTAGGACTTAACTATTTTATAACTGAAAGTTTGTGCTTTTGACCCCCTTCACCCATTTCTCCCGCCCACTACTTCCTGCCTCTGGCAACTGCCAATCTGTTCTCTGTATCTATGAGCTGGGATATTTTTTGAGGTTCTCCATATAAGTGAGATTATACAGTATTTGCCTTTCTCTGTCTGACTTATTTCACTTAGCACAACGTCCTCAAGGTCCATCCATGTTGTCATGAATGGCAAGATTTCATTGTGTTTATTTTATCTTTTTAAGATTGGCACCTGAGCTAACATCTGTTGCCAATCTTTTTTTTTTCCTTCTTCTCCCCAAAGCCCCCAGTACATAGTTGTATATTCTAGTTGTGAGTGCCTCTGGTTGTGCTATGTGGGACGCCACCTCGATATGGCTTGATGAGCGGTGCCATATCCTTGCCTAAGATCCGAACTGGTGAAACCCTGGGCCACCGAAGCGGAGCGTGCAAACCTAACCACTCGGCCACGGGACAGGCCCCAAGATTTCATTCTTTTTTATGAATGAATATAGTCCATTGTGTATATGTATGTGTGTGTGTATATATATATATGTACACCTCATCTTCTTTATCCATTCATCCACTGATGGATGTTTAGTTTGTCTATATCTTGGCTATTGTAAATAATGCTGCAATGAACATAGGGTGCATAGGTCTATTCAAGTTAGTGTTTTTGTTTTCTTTGGATAAATACCCAGAAGCAGAATTGCTGGATCATAAGGTAGTTCTATTTTTAATTTTTTGAGGCACCTCCATACTGTTTTCCATAGTGGCTGCACCAATTTACATTGATCTTCACATAAGAGAAATTAGGTGGAATGTGCTCTTTTGATCTGGCATTCTTCCATTCAACATTGTGTCTATAAGATTCATCCATGTTGTTGCTTATATGTGTCAACAGTTTGCTGTTTTTCATTGGTGTGCAGTATTCCATTGTAGAACTGTACCATGATTTACTTGCTCACTCTATGTTGTCGGATAATTGGGTCTTTTCAGTTGTGGGCTGTTGTGGATGAAACTGCAGTGACATTGTGCACGTTGGTGTGCGTACTCTCTGGTGGACACACACTCACTCATGCTGGGGGCAGATACCCAGGAGAGGGCTTGTGGGCTAACAAGGGAGATGGAGGTTTAGCTCCAGTAGATGCTGCCGAGTAGCTTTCCAAAACGGCACCAATTTACAATTCCACCCACAAAATATAAGAGTTTCAGGTGTACCACATCCTCACCACAACTGATACCATCAGTTTTTAAAATTTTTGTCGTTCTGATGGTGTATAGTGGCATCTCATTGTCCCCACTACCGTTCACTAACAGGAAAAGGAAACTAACTTCCATCAGGCCCTCTGACATGCTAGGGATTGTTGGGCACTTCCCTTATTATGTTTTATTTTATTTATTTATTTTTTCAAAGATTGGCACTTGAGCTAACATTTATTGCCAATCTTCTTTCTTCTTCTTCTTCTCCCCAAAGCCCCCTGGTACACAGTTGTATATTTTACTTGTGGGCCCTTCTACTGTGGCATGTGGGACGCCGCCTCAGCATGGCTTGATGAGCGGTGCCATGTCCGCACCCAGGATCTGAGCTGGTGAAACCCTGGGCTCCCAAAGTGGAGGGTGCCAACTTAACCACTCGCCAGGGGGCCGGCCCTCGCTCATTTTCTATTCTCATTTCCTCTGCTCATTTCATCTACTGTGGAGGTAGGTATGATGCTCCCGAGTGAAGGGTGAGGAAACCGGAGCTCGGTGAGCAGGCAGAGACCTGAACAGGATGCTCACGCCTTACAGCGCAGTCTGCCTACACAGGGCCTGTGGCGTTCCCTCAGGCAACTCCGCCTCATCCCTTACTGCCGGTTTCAGCATTTGTTCTGTGCCTTTGATGCCTGTCATGTCGAATTTATTCAAGCCCGAGTTGCCCTCCCTCAGTGGAAAGGATGTATTTGTCTTATGCACCATCGTAGTGGAAAAATGTGGAACTCCTTCTCCTCTCACTGCTTTGTCAGGAGTCAAAATCTGAAAGGAGTGGACAGTTTCCATTCCTTCACTTCTCCGGTATCTCACCAGCTTCATTTTGGTTATTTTGTCTCTTTCCAGGGGCTTGGGACTTGGTGGGAGCCTACTGGGACATGAGACAAGCCAATTACCAACATTCAAGCAGATACTTCTATGCCCGGGGGAACTATGATGCTGCACAAAGGGGCCCTGGGGGTGTCTGAGCCGCTCAAGTGATCAGGTGACTGGGGTGCTGGGGTGGCCAGGGAGAGCGGAGCAGAGTTGTCTGTCTCCAGAGTCAGGAGGGCTGTGGTCCCCGCTCTTACTGCCCCTGCTCCTGAGGTCTGGGTGGCCAGCAGAGCCAGAGCAGGGCTGGTGTGGATGTGTCTCCCCCAACCCCAAAGAGAAAGGGAGGGATCTCTGCAGAGCTCTGTTGCGGAACATGGAAAGAACCAGTTGACCTGGACCTTTGCCCAAGGAGGTGCATGTTTTAGCCCCTCCTTCTTGAGCATGGGCTCTTCCAGCCTCCTCTGAAAGTCATTCCTTGGTGGAAAGAGAGAAGGGAATTGGGAGGTGGAGCTGTCTAGAATGACCCAGGAGACAATCTCCTCTCTCGCTTCCTTCCAGCAACGCCAGGGAATATCTTCAAGATCTCTTACACAAGCTTTCCTTTGGAAGCAGCAGCTATGACTTGGAGGACCTGACTTCCGACCGGAGAGCTGGGGAATGGGGCCGGAGTGGCAACGACCCCGAGCACTTCAGACCTGCTGGCCTGCCTAAGGAATACTGAGCTGCCTGCTCCCTCTGCTCTCACGGGATGAGGCTGTGAGCCACACAACTCTCCCCACAAACAGGGCACAGTGTCACTGAGCGTTGTGTCCCCAGGAACTCATAAAAGGCCCCATACATGTTTGTCAAATTGAATTCATTGACAGAAAGTGGCATCTTTGAGACGGACTCTCAGGAAGAATGGCTAACTGGTCCCATATGGAAAATAAGCAGCACTGTGGAAGATGAGCCTGTGACTGTGGGAGCCCTGGGACCCCACTGGACCTGTAACCATGCTATGTCCTCACATGACCCCATGGAGCCCCTTATCAGATATATGACTTGCAAATATTTACTCCCATTTTGTAGGTTGCTTTTTCACTTTGCTGATGGTTTCCTTTGCTGTGCAGACTTTTTAGTTTGATGTTTATTTTTGTTTATTTTGTTTATTATTTGCTTTTCTTGCCTCTGCTTTTGGTGTTAAATCCAAAAAATCTTTGCCATGACCAATGTCAAGGAGCTTACCACCTATGTTTTCTTCTAGGAGTTTTAAGTTTCAGGTCTTATGCTCAAGTCTTTAATCCATTTTGAGTTAACTTTTGTGTATGGTGTAAGATACGGGTCCAGTTTCATTCTTTTGCGTGTGTCTGTCCAGTTTTCCAGCACCATTTATTGAAGACACTGTCTTTCCCCCATTCTGTATTCTTTGCTCGTTTGTCATAAATTAATTGACCTTATATGTGTGGGATTACTTCTAGGCTCTCTATTCTGTTCCACTGATCTTTGTGTCTGATTTGATGCCAATATCATACTGTTTTGATTACTATACCTTTGTCATATAGTTTGAGATCAGGAATGTGATGTCTCCGACTTTGTTCTTCTTTCTCAGTGTTGCTTCAGCTATTGGGGGTCCTTTGTTCCATCCCGATTTTAGGCATCCACTCAAATTTAAGGTTCCATACAAATTTTAGGACTGTTTCTTCTATTTCTGGGAAACGCCTTTGGAATTTTGATAGGGATTGCATTGAATCTGTAGATTGCTTTGGGTAATATGGACATTTTAACAATATTAATTCTGCCAGTCCATGAGCAATGAAAATTTTTAAAAAGGCATTTTAAAGATGTTGGATATAATACTTCTTTTTAAAACCAGTAATATTTTAAATAGTTTATGAATGTATATGACTTGTAGCCTTAAAGGATGCCCACCAATGTTCTCATCTGGATACTAAATAGGTAGTTCATACTGGAAAGAGAAATCTGAAGAGCAAGAGAAAAAGAGCTCCTGCAGATGGAAATCCAGATAATGTGTTGTTTAACTTTAACAAAATGGGGGACTTTAGATACAAAAGATTATGCACCCAATATTCCGTCTGTCCACGATCCTCCTCGGGCCTTTTCTTTCCTCAGGGTAAGTTCTGAGCCTCTCAGGCCCGTCTCTCTCATGGCTGTCTAGTGGGATCCAGGCTTAGCCTTAGACCCCGGCAGGAGCTCCTGACTGCTGGAGACAGAAGTTCTGCCGAGGCGAGGAGAGAACGTTGCCTCTTCTCCTGCAGCTGCGCAAGATACAGATGGTTCCTGCATCAAAACGCTGTCCTGGCAACAGGTATTTCTCAGAAAGGAAACTCGAAAGACACCCAGACTTCAGAGAATGGTGCTACGTCCTGTAAAATGTATCTCTTGAGGGCCGCAGTCCCTAATTCTTCTGAGGGGAGACGACCTGCTAAGGCTGTGGGTGGTTCCTGCTCTGGGTGGTTCCTCACTCTGCCCAGGTCCAGGAGTGTGGGAAAGCACTCTCCACTGAGCCACAAGGGTCATAAGGAAAGATGGCCAACTTTCCTAGAATCACGTCCAAGTCTAACCTGCCTATCAAACCTTGAAACAAGCATTTAAGAAAAAAGATCTACAGTGTTTCTCCTCTGAGCCAACTGCTGATGGCTCACAGGTAAGAATACATCTGCATTCCCTGGGTGTGCACACAGTGACTTCTGGAGGAGCCACAAGACAGCAATCAACAACAGCAGTAACTACAATACAACACAACACAAAACCCCCATCATTATTCTACCTTCCAATGACTGCAGCGTTTCTCAGCTCTGCAACAGCATTATTCTGAGCTGGTTAGAACCAGTTCAAGAGGCAGATAGAGTCCCCATACAGACCCAAAGGAGGTTCATCTGAGTTCTCCTTTCCTGGTTCCAGTTTGGGCTGAATGTGGAGTCATCCTACTCAGATCTCAATTTAATCAACTCACAGTGACATGACATTTGTTAATTAAGATGAAATAACGCCCTGAAAGCTATTTGAGTCAGTAAGACACCCTGGTGATGCAAGAGCCGTAGACATCTTTAGGAAGCCAAACAAGTATTCGACAAATTGAAGTGCTTGTCAAAGATCTCTCCTCCCCAGTATCCCTGGCTGATGCTGATGGTTTTTCAGGGAGTTCAGCTAAAGTCTCAGGGCACAGCTAACTCTGTATCATACAGATACCGGTTATACAGATAATGTTGTTTTCCAGCCAATTTTAAAGAAACTAGAGTAATCTTGATTCCCAAACCAGAGATGGGCAATACAAGAAATTAAACCTATAGTCCCATTTTGCTTTCAAAGTCACAATGATTCAAAGTAAAACATAGTGCTAACTAGCCCAATCTGAGTATTAAAACTGCCTCATGATTGAGAGTGGTTTATTCTTGAAATGCAAAACTAGGTCCACATTACAACATCAATCAATGTGATTCACCACATGCATAGCCAAAAGAGAAAAATAATATTATCTCAATTGATCAAAAAATAATTTCACAAAGTTTAAGACATATTTCTAGTCTAAAAACATCCTTTAGAAAACTGTACATTGAAGGGAATGTTCTTAATTTATAAGCTTCTATGCGAAAAAGTCATAGCAAACATATTATTTAATGGAAAAACCTCAGTTGCTCCCAATGAGAACTGCAAAGACTTTCTCTGTGGCTTACATCACATAGGGACGGTAAATTATCAAGCACCTTCTGGCATTTGCAATGAAAGAAAACAGAAGCTACTCCCATTACTGTTCACCAGCCTCCCACATCCCAGCAGAGTGTGGATTGCCCCCAGTGAGAGCTTCTGTGGAGGGTCTTATTAAATTGTGGCTGAGTCTACCCACATCTGACTTCCCTCTAGAACGGAAAGCAGTATTTCATCTGAACTGAAGATAGTGAGGATGAAGACAAGCTGAACTAATAGAGAACGCTTCCTTAGGTAAAAGGAGCAGGCACTGGCTAACGGTTGAGTCAGGGGTAGGCTGTGGTGTTGGCAAGAAATAAGCTGGAGTCCAAATGGAAGTTTCCAGGATAGGGATCCTGGGATTAGGCTTCCCGAAGCAATGTACCTGCTTGATTGGGAAAGAGGTCCCTGGCAACAAGGCCTGGAGGCAGAGGGGCAGGATGCAACTGATTGGGCAGTGAAGTGTCTGGACCCAGAGAGGCCTGGGCACAGCAACAAGAGAACTGGGGAGGCCTGGTCACAATGAAGAAGTGGCGGGTGGGGGCTGCCCAGGACTTGTGCCAGAGCCATGCCGGCAGCCATTGAGCAGCCCAGCATGATGGCCAATGCTTTGCCAGCTCGGCTTACTCAGGAGGAGAATCTGGGCCCACTACGGACCAGAGAGGCTCCATGGGGTCATGTGAGGACATGGCATAGTTACAGGTCCAGTGGGGTTCCCAGGGCTCCCACAGTCACAGGCTCATCTTCCACAGTGCTGCTTATTTTCCATATGGGACCAGTTAGCCATTCTTCCTGAGAGTCCGTCTCAAAGATGCCACTTTCTGTCAATGAATTCAATTTGACAAACATGTATGGGGCCTTTTATGAGTTCCATATTTTAGATTATTATATAAAATGACATATTTATTCAGAATGCTACACTTTCTAATTGTTATTTTAAAATTGAGGTGTCTTTAGACTGAGCGTTTATGTCCCTCTAAAAATCATACGTTGAACCCTAATACCCAACATGATGGTTTCGAAGTGGAGCCTTTGGGGGGGGGGGGATTAGGTCATAAGGGTGGAGCCCTAATGAATAGGATTAGCCCTTTTCTAGGAGACCCCAGAGATCGCCCTGTCCCTTCTGCCATGTGAGGACACAGTGGTGAGATGGCCATCTGTGACAAGGAAGTGGGTTCTCATCAGACACCGAATCTGCAAGCACCTTGAACTTGGACTCCCAAGCCGCCAGTGAGAAAGAAATTTCTGTTGTTTATAAGCCACCCTGTCAATGGTATTTTGTTATAGCAGCCTGAACTAAGAGAAAGGTCTAACGTATATACCATGAAATTTCACACCTTGACATTTACATGTCAATGAGTTTTGGTAAATCAATACACCCATGCAACCCATGCCCTCAGAGAGATGTGGAACATTTCCATCATTTCAGAAATGCCCTCATACCCCTTCCTGGGGAATCCCATCGGTCCCCAGAGGCAGCTACTGCTCTGTCACTGTTAAATATTGGTTTTCGCTGTTCTTGAACTTCATGTAAATGGAATCACACAGTATGCACTCATGTGTAAGGCTTCTTTTGCTCAGTACAGTAATTTGAGAGAGATTCGCGTTCATGTGCTCCCTTTTATTGCTAATTAGAAGCTTCCCTGTATGGACATATCACAGTTTGTTTATCCATTCTTCAATTGATGGACATTTGAGTTGTTCCCAGTTTCAGGTTACTAAAATAAATCTGCTTTGAATGTTCATATGCAAGAGTTTTTATGAACATGTGTGTTCTTTCTCTTGGTGAAATAACTTAGAGATGGAATTGCTGGGTCTCAGAGAAGGTGTGTGTTTAACACTAGAAGAAACTGCCAAACTGTTTTCAAGATGGTTGTCCCATTTCCAGTTGCTGCACATGCTCACCAGCACTTAGTATGAGCACTCATTTTAATGTATCCACTCCAAGACGTGTGAAGTTGTACCTGTGACCATTAATTTTGTGTGTCAATTTGCTTGGGCTACGGGATGCCTAGGTAGCTGGTAAAACATTATTTCTGGTTGTGTCTGTAGGATGTTTCTGGAAGAAATTAGCATTTGAGTCCATGGAGTCAGTAAAGAAGATTATCATCACTGATGAGTGTGGCCATCATCCCATCCCACCTCTTGAGGGCCTGACCAGAACAGAAAGGTGGAGGAAGGACAAATTTGCTCTTTGCTTGAGCTGGCACTTCCACAGTCTCCTGCCTCCAGACATCAGCGCTCCTTGCTCTTGGTCCTGTGGACCAGGCTTGAATTACATCACTGGCTTTCCTGCTTCTCCAGCTCACAGAGAGCAGATTGTGGGATTTCTCAGCC